ATCAAAATTATAACAAATAAAGACTTGAAATATCTCTACTTTGCATGTAATGAGTCTATATAATATATTAGTTTCACCTTTTAAAGGGATACTCCACTTTTTTTGGAAATAGGCTCATTTTACAACTCCCCCAGAGTTAAACTGTTGAGTTTTACCGTTTTTGAATCCATTCAGCCGATCTCCGGTTCTGGCGGTACCACTTTTAGCATAGCTTAGCATACATCATTGAAGTGGACAAGACCATTAGCATTTCTAAAAAAAAAATGACCAAAGTGTTTCGATATTTTTCCTATTTAAAACGTGAGTCTTCTGTAGTTACATCGTGCACTAAGACCGACGGAAAATGTAAAGTTGCGATTTTCTAGGCTGATATGGCTAGGAACTATACTCTCATTCCTGCGTAATAATCAAGAAACTTTACTGCCGTACCATGAGTGCAGCAGGCGTAATGATACGACGCAGCGCCTGAAAATAGTCCCCAGCTGCGTCATATCATTACGCCTGCTGCACGACGTAACTACAGAAGAGTCAAGTTTAAATAGGAAAAATATCGAAACTCTTTGGTCATTTTTTTATGAGAAATGCTAATGGTCTTGTCCACTTCAATGATGTATGCTAAGCTATGCTAAAAGTGGTACCGCCAGAACCGGAGATCGGCTGAATGGATTCAAAAACGGTAAAACTCAACAGTTTAACTCTGGGGGAGTTGTAAAATGAGCCTATTTCCAAAAAAAAGTGGAGTATCCCTTTAAGTTGAATTACTGAAATAAATGAACTTTTGCACCATATTCTAATTTTTAGAGTTTCACCTGTATATACGTATCTATTTTTTATTTTTGTGAGGTCCACATGACTCACCTGGAGTCGAACAGCGTGCCATCGAGCAGAGTACCATTGTAGTGGTAGCGGATATAATCTGACACTTCCACAGTGCGGTTACAGCTCTCGGGCTTGAAGTAGGTCTTTATCTGCACCTTGTCCTCTGCGTTCCAGATGTCTAACATCAGCACATCAAAGTGAAGGATGGAATCTGCGGGGATGATGTCACCTGACAGGAAATGACACAAAATACTTTGAGGAATAAAGTCAAACAAGCTTTGCAGCTTTGAAACCTGGCCATCTATTTAAAGCGCGACTAAAGCAAGACAATAAATGCTTTAGTCTTTGTGTTTACTATAAAGACTTCATTATTAGTTTTCGTTTGGCAGGGAAAGTGTATTGTGTAGCCTATGTTTCACGGGAAGAGCTTTTGTGATGATGAGATATATAATAATATAGTCTTACATCAGAAGATTTCTAAAGGATCATGTTACACTGAAAACTGACTGCTGAAAATTCAGCTTTGCATCACAGGAATAAATAACATTAGTTCATGTATTAATAATGAATATGAACTAAGACTGAGAAATACATTTATTACAGTACTTATTCATCTTTGTTAATGTTGGTTAAGCAAAATAGTTAATTGTTTGTTCATGTGTTAGTTCACAGTGCATTAACTAACGTTAAAAAATACAACTTTTGATTTTAATAATGTATTAGTAAATGATGAAATTAACATGAACTAAGATTAAAAAATGCAGTAGAATTATTGTTCATGCTTACTTCATCTTAATAAGTAAGTGTTACCAATTACATTTTGAAATATAGTAGTAGCTAAAAGTGATGTCTGGAGGGGATATTTGTTAGTTTTTTTAATTACCCTACAAGTTCGATTAAACCATCAAAATATGAGGGAAATATTTAATATATATATATTTTAAATATGTTAAATATGAGGGAAGAACAAAACACTAAACTTGGTTAAGGTTTTTATCTGATGAAAGGTTTCATTTTACTATGCAAAAAAAAAAAGCTCAGGAAAAAGCATCGACTACAACAAAATCAGTTATTAATATTTTGTTGTTTCTCTTGTTTTGCATGTGTTCATAATTTCTTTGTATGACAGCCTGGCCAAAAATGATGTCCCCTCAATTTGGCCCGTTTCACTGTGTTATAAAAACCACAAAAACCACACAAAAAAACACAATTGACTCTGGTATATGTGCAGTTAATTCTACACATCTGTTTGTGTTTCATGCAGCCGAATTGGCCAGACATACACACACCATCTCCACAACTAGTTCTGACAAGCGCACATGGTTCAACATTCCTCTTCGGATCACTCCCCTTGGGAATTCACACCCCCATCCGTTCAACTTCCCCCCTTTCTCTCTCTCCACCGCGAGATCCCATGCTCCCGTGACTCAGCAGGAGTGCAGGAGAATCATGGGAATTGTAGGTCTCTGTAAGTTTGTGCTTATTCACATGCAAATGTGCTGATGGCATCTACACCGACAGACATCTAAATGACAAATAATTGCATTCATGCATGAAGTGGTAAACAGAGAACTGTGATTTGAAAGTGTGTTTACCATAGCCGTCCTTTCCGTAGGCAAGCTGTGGAGGGATTTTGATCATCCATCGTTCATTTACACACATGCCCACTAAAGCTTTGTCCATCCCAGCGATCAGCTTCTTCTGGCCAACAAACACATTATAGGTGGTGCCACGGTCATAACTGCAAACACACACATAAACAAACATGTATTATACCACAAAATACTTTTCTTAGTAATCATTTTGGTGTTATTTTACAGTAAAAACATAGAATCTGGATATCTATTCTTGAGAAGCATACTTTTATAAGATATTAAGAATTTATGGATACACTTTATTTTAAGATGACGTAATTACACTGTACTACTTACTCAAATAAGTACGGAGTAATATTAAATAACTACATGTATTACTATAGGTTAGGCTCTAACTCTAACCCTAGGTTAACCAATTTTCAACTTTTTTATAATTTATACAAGATTCATCTAATTTTAAGTCACTTTAATGTAATTTAAGTTGAAATGACTTAAATATATATATATATATATATATATATATATATATATATATATATATACTGTAAAGAAATAAGTTGTTGTCTTAAATTTGTAAGTGCAATTAACTTGTATGTACCGGTATGTGTGTATATATATATATATATATCACTGTATAAAATATAAATATATATGTTTAAGTCATTTCAACTTAAATTACATTAAAGTGACTTAAAATTAGAACAATCTTGTATAAATTATAAAAAAAAGTTAAAAATAGCTTAACTTAATTTGATGAGTAAAAGCATTGGAAAAACATTACCTGATCATATATTAATATATTTTGATCATATATATTTATATTTTATATAGTGATATATATATATATACACACACATACATGTATACAAGTTGATTGCACTTAAAAATTTAAGACAACTTATTTTTTTACAGTATATATATATATATACTGTATGTACACATACTATATATACATATAACTTTATTTACACTTTTCATTTAGATGTACCTTTAAAAAGATGTAAATTATCTTGCCCATCACTCATTCATTCGTTCACTCACTCACTCACGTACACATTCCTTCATTGGTTCACTCAGACACGTATTCATTCATCCATTCATTCTATAGACTATTGCAATTTGCAAATGTAAACTTGTTTTAAATCAATTGTAAATGTTTAGGATGTGCTTTGCAGAAGTAAATGTTCACTATGGTAGGCCTAAATGAGCAAGTCACAGTAGATCTGCTCTGCCTGCGTGGCTGTAGTAAACCTCCAGACGCAAATGGCTTCAGGCCAGGTGAGAAGATGAAGAACAATGGAGGGCAACCATGCATTTTGAACTAACCTGGAGTCAAACTTCTTTCCATCAGGGAACATGCCGATGTAATGATAACGAACAAAGTCTCCTGACTTGACCAGGCGGTCGCAGCGTTCCGGAGTGAACGTCTTCTCAATAACGATGTCATCTAACGGTACCGGCGGCGGGTTGCACGCCACTAACGTAACTAGGACAGCCAGGAGAATCATTTGCACCGTTAATCGTTTCATCTTCCGTTGTTTTTCGCTAAGGACTGGTTTGCTGCGTTCGCGCGCTGCAGCAGAGTCTCCTCGATCCCTCTCGAGCACTGTAGATGAAACGGGGAGTGTGTAGACGTGGTGGACGCCGGATCCTCAAACTCGCTCTAACTTCTTCTTCTTTTGCCCACGGTGTCACTTTACATGGAGAACGCGCAGGAAAGAGCTCCGTTTTGCAGGGAAAAGCGGAAACGCAGGCCTGGAGGCTGGAATGTTTTCTACGTGGCACAGAGATGGGCGGCTCGCGCTTTATGAGACTGTAATTATAGAGGGACCATAATGCAGCGCAACAGGCGTTTCAGATCAGATACTCACATGCCCCCCTAATGCTGTGAAGCAGTTTTTGATAAATGTAATGTTATAAAATATCAGGAACAATATAAAACGCATCTTTTCACTTTAGGAAGTTTCATTTTAAGGGTTTTCCCCACTTGTTTAACCTATTAAATCCCAATCATTAAAAAAAAAAAAAAATCCCAAAAAGTGGGCACATAATGTGTACAGAGTAATGAAACAAACTTTCTTTTTCGTTTCACAAAAGTTAGTGTAATTATGTTTTATTTCTGGTCACAACTGCTGGAAAAATATAGGCCTATATATATATATCATATTGCCTAAGACCAATAAAAAGTTGCAAACAATGTGTGTGTGGTCCTGGTAACCATCATTATGTTAATAAAATGTCTGAAATCCTTGTCCTTGTGGGGACATTTTTAGGTCCCCATGGGTAACGTTAGGTTTAGTGTAAGGGGAGAAAATATAGGCTACAGTTTGTACAGTATAACAATCATTATGTCTATGGAAAGTCCACATAAAACATGAAAACACAACATGTGTGTGTGAGAGTGAGTGTGTGACTATTTACAGCAGGCAGCAAGACAGTATGTGAACTATGTGTAAAATAAACTCTTTAGACCCTAAAGTAAATGTTGGCCACAGATGTTACTGAAGGCTTAGATGAATAAATATTTGTTAGTAAATCACTGTAGTGTTTTTAGCTGCTTGGGGGAAGGGAGCGCGCTGACGGATTTTGGGGACGTGGAGAGTCTGCGGGCGGGTCTTGTTCTCTCCCACCCCTGCGTACTTTGGGATTCCCATACGGGACCATGGCCTCCTCATCGCACTGCCTGAGGCTCGCATTTCTTTTATTCTGCTTTTCTTTTTGCGTTCTTGCACAGTATGAGAAATACAACTTTCGCAGTTTCCCACGGCACGAGCTCATGCCCCTGGACTCTGCGTACCGGCACGCTTTAGACCAGTACAGCGAGGAGAAGTGGCCCGAGAGCGTGGAGTTTCTGGAGGTGAGTCTCCGGCTGTACCGACTGCTCCGGGACAGCGAGGCCTTCTGTAACCTGAACTGCAGCACGGTACGACTCGACGACGAGACCCGCTTCAGCGACTTCCCCGAGCTACACGCGTTCGGTAACGTGATGAGGCGAGCGCAGTGTCTGAAGCGATGCAAACAGGGTTTACCTGCCTTCAGACAGACGCTCCCCAGCAGAGAAACCATCGAGGAGTTCGAGAAACGGGAACCCTACAAGTACCTGCAGTTTGCTTACTTCAAAGTAAGTCATTAACGTTCACTCATTGCATTAACAATGCGAGAATGAGGTTAAAAGTTGGTGCTTTGTAATACTGTACCATAGTATTACATAATTGGACTGTAGAGAATGTCACCATGGTATTTAACACGTACGTACCATGTTATTTTTGTAGTTTCTTTGAATCATGCACCATAGTATATCAAAATACATTGTATTTCAAAGTACTTCATAGAATATTACCATGGGACATGAGCAAATATCCATGATATTACCATGATACCAAGTGCATAAACATTGTATTACCATTGTTTTTATAATACTTTTTTTGTATGTGTATATAGTATAACATAGTAATAGACAATGGTACTGAATGTTTACCTTATGTACCATGGTACATTTTCAAAGTACATGGTATTTCAAAGTACTTATTGGAATAGTTGGCCTATATGGTCTATACTATGTCTGACCAAATTGGTTATTATAAATTGTTCCAGAGTGAAAATTTGGCCAAAGCTGTATCTGCAGCGCACACTTTCCTGCTAAAGCATCCTGATGACGAGATGATGCAGAGGAACATGAACTATTACAAGAGCTTACCTGGAGCAGAGGAACATATGAAAGACCTGGAGACCAAATCATATGAGGTGAGACTGAGACCCCACACATAAAACAGTGTTTAAGGGGCGATCAAGTCCTCATATTAAAGTCGGCATGAAACGGAAGTTGCGGTAGACTTTTCTATTGTGATGTATATTCGAGTGAATTGGCTTGTCGAACAAGAACAACTCTTAAGATCAGCTGCCATTAGAGAAAAAGGGCGTTAAAACAAATTCTAAGAAATACTGAAATTCATGTTAATTTTTAAATTCAACTTTTCATTCAAGTATGCTGATAATATTATTTATAATGGGAAAAAAACCCATTTAACTCCAAATAACTCTAGGGTCAGTAAAATTAATAAATTATTTTATTCAGCAAAGACATTAAATATATATAAAAAATATCAATAAAGACGTATAATTTTACAAAAGTTTTCTATAAAAAAAAATGAAATCTTTCTTTTCATCAAAGAATCCTGAAAAAAATGTATCACGGTTTCCACACAAATATTAAGCTGCACAAGTTTTCAACATTGATAATAATAATAATAATAAATGTTTTTAAGCAGCAAATCAGCATATAAGAATGATTTCTGAAGGATCATGTGGCAATGAAGACTGGAGTACTGATGCTAAAATTAAATTGCAATAATTTACAATATTACTGTCAGATAAATGCATATAAATGCAGCCTTGGTGAGCGTAAGAGACTTTCAAAAACATTTAAAAATCTCACGAACCCCATACTTTTAAACAGTAAAATGCATATCTCTAAAAATGTAATATATACAGTATGTGCAATCCAAGCTCAGGGAAATGCACACAATTGTGATACGCCTGTTGAATGTAATAAGTGTTGTAGTTTACAGCTGCACTCATGCTTCAAGGTTCTTCTCCTCCAGTCTCTGTTCATTCGGGCCGTGCGGGCGTATAACGGAGACAACTTCAGAACATCAGTGTCAGATATGGAGTTGGCAATGAGAGACTTCTTCAAGGTGTATGACGAGTGCATCGCAGCGTCAGAGGGATCCAGACAGATCAGAGACTTTAAAGACTTTTACCCGTCCATCGCAGGTTTGCTCTCGTCATCTCTGCCCTCGCCATCCTTCAGCGGAACCGCTTTAACATGTTTCTCTTTCTTTAGATCATTACACTGAGGTTCTGGAGAGGAAGGTTCGCTGTGAGAGCGAGCTCACGCCGGTCGTAGGTGGATTTGTTGTTGACAAATTTGTGGCAACCATGTACCACTATCTCCAGTTTGCTTATTATAAACGTAAGTCTGGAAAGTCCTCTATTTAAAGGGGTCATATAATGCCATTTTTGTACAAGCTAATATGATTCTTTAGGGTCTAAATTAAAAGTTTGTAATATACTTTAATTAAAAATTCTGATTAGTATTGTAAGAAAACACTTATTTTACTTGGTCAAAAACAGCTCTGTTTTCAGCACGCCGTTTCAGTGCATATGACTTTAAATGATAATGAGCTTTGCTCACCCCGTCTCTCTGTTCTGTGCGTACACCGTTTGTAACACAATAACACAATAACCATAACGCGTTGTTCAGTATAAACGTGGGATTATGAATTATATTGAGAACGTCATACATAGAAAACATGCCGTAATGTATCCTGAGTGTAAACCTTAGACGCATTCATTGTGAAGCGTGCAGCTAGCGATTTGCAAAGATTAATATATTAATATAAAGTTTAATAAAACGTTACACTCACTTCAGTTGTTCTAGAGGTTCAGCAGGAACATCAATAGCTGGTACCGATCCTTTATTCATGTGCAGCTTCTTAGGAAAACCAGCTTTATACTGACCCTTGTTTATAAAGCAGTCTGCTGAGAAATGATTCGCGCAAACATGAGAGCATTGACGTTGCTCGTGGGGAATATTCCCTTCGAAAACAAACTCAGCCACTGCGTCTTCAGCGGTTCGGATTCAGGAACATTAAAATGACTGTGTTCGTTATTACACCCAAGAACAGAACACCACAATCGCTTAGACGCCATTCTGCTCATAGACAGTGCTCCAGCATATCAACAATGAGCGCGCCGGTCCGCGCAGACTATGATTGACAGCTGGCTCACGAGCGAGGGCGGGTCTGTGTTGAAACGCTTCTGTCAATCAACAATCGTGGGAGGGGCTTCCGAGCGTGTGACGTCACACGGTCGAACGGCTTGATTTGAGGCAGGGGAAAACATATAAGGAGATTAAAACAAAAACACTGGATGGATTTGTATCATTTTATGATGGTTGTGTACAGGCACTGCCAACACACATTTCAGTACAATCAACTTGTAAAAGTGCATGTATCATTATATGACCCCTTTAAACTACATATGTGTGGCATCTGTCAGGAGGTAGGCTAAAGCACACGAGACAGAGTAGCGAACAAATTTCATCCGTCTTGTTTACTCACACACACTACGCCATTACACTCGTGAACACAACAATATGTGAACCATGAATGTGAAAAACGTACACACATTCTACCGTTCAAAACTTTGGGGTCAGTAAGAATATTTAATGTTTTTAATGAAAGATGTCTCTAATGCTCACCAAGATTGCATTTATTTGACCAAAAACATAGTGAAACAGTAATATTGTGACATATAATTACAGATATTATATTTCAGCAACACAATAAGGTTTTATTTGTTAACGCTAGTTATCATGAACTAACAATAAAAATACTTCTACATCATTTATTAATAATAGCTAATGTTAATTTCAACATTTAATAATATATTTTTAAGATCAAAGGTTGTGTCTGTTGACATTAGTTAATGCACTGTGAACTAACATGAACATTTTATTCCTGTGATCAAAGCTGGATTTTCAGCATCATTACTCCAGTCTTCAGTGTCACATGATCCTTCAGAAATCAATCTAATATGATGATTTACTACTCAAGAAACATTTCTGATTATCAATGTTGAAAACATTTTTTTTTAATAGAAAGTTCAAAAGAACAGCATTTACTTTAAAATAGAATTTTTTGTAACATAAATGGATTATAAATGTATTTACTATCACTTTTGATCAACGAAATGCATTCTTGCTGAATATAAGGATTAGTTTTCTTTTTATAAAACCTTACTGACCCCAAACTTTTGATAGACAGTCAGTGTGTGTGTATATAAATGTTTCTCTCCTTCATTCTCGTTCAGTGAATGATCTGAAGAACGCAGTGCCGTGTGTGTCCAGCTATATGCTCTTTGACCCCAGTGATGAGGTGATGAAGAATAATGTGGAGTATTATCGTTACCACAAAGAGAAATTTGGCCTCAGTGATGAGGACTTCTTGCCTAGAGTGGTAGGTGTCTCACATCAATGAGAAATAATGTATAAAACACATGTACTTACCTTTTAATGTGAGGAGTTGTAATGATAATGCACACTCGCATGACAGGAGGCAGTTCGGTACCACAATCAGACGACGCTTCAGATGCAGATGCTGGAGTTCGCCAAACAGAAGTTCCTGTCGGATGATGAGGTGAGAGCTGAGAGTATTTGGTTGGCTTGTTGTTTTACAAATATTCATAGTTCTGACTGCATATATTGCTAGTTTTGTCCACTAGGGTGCGCACTGTGCTCACTGATTCACCAGAGCAGCGACACTCCGCCCTCTAGTGGCCGAGCCAGCAAATCTTTAAACGCTTAACAGTGTTATTTTAGTACCATTGAGATACTATTGTGGGGTTTTTTTTAATACTTGAAATTAGTTTTTTCCCGTATTCATTTTAATTTTAGTTAAAGTTTTAGAAATTTTGTTGTTTATTTTTGTTATTTTTATTAGTTATTTTAATATGTTTTTATTCATTTTTATTTCAATTTTTGTCTTAGCTGTTTTAGTACATCAAGTTAAAATAAATTAAAATGAGAAATGTTGCTTTAGCAATTAGCTAAAATAAAAAAAGGTTTTGGAAAAACTTTACTTAAAGCCTTTATATATGCTTATAAAAGTATTTTAATGCATTAATTATGCCTTGTAATCCACCTTATGATGCGTCGTATGGTCTCATGAATAATTGTAACCACAACATTATAATACTTATCTATTTATTGTTATGAAAGTAACACTTTAGAAAGTATATACTTTATATACATATATACTTTAGAAAGTATAATGCATTAAAACACAGGAGAAACAACCAATTTCAGAAGTAACAATGAATCTGCAAATATTATAATGCATTTTAACTTTGGTTACAATTATACACATAATAAAAAAGTTTAAATTAAAGTGTTAGCAAAGATTTTAATATTTTATTTTATTTCAAGTAACTGTTTATGTCTTTAATATCTAGTGCAGTTATTGCAGCTTATATTTTAAAATAAACACTGTTCTCTCTCTCTAACTCTTCCTCCAACCATTTGTTTTTCTTTCAGGATGAAGTCTTAGAGTTTCTTGATGAATTTCTTGATTCTGAGGATAAATAAAAGATTGTAATTGCTCTGAATAAAAACAAAACATTTTATCTTGAAAAGGCCATAAAGGTATTCTCAATCCTGTACTTTTTTTGGTCCTTGTATTTATTTAGGGGTTGGTGATTGGAAGTGATTTTTATTTTAATGATCTCTGTACTAAAATATGTACTTATACATAACATGTAAGTACAGATTTTACACATGCACCACAATCAAAAAGATAATAAATCTGAATCTCAGTCCCTGTCAACTTACTGTATCTAAGAGAAATGTTGTGTTTTTATTTTGTTGGTTGGATTGTTTTAATAAAGATTGTTTTATATTGATCTGATCCAGTTGGAATACCATGTTAAGGGAAGATGTCCAGGAAGACTTGAGGCACAAGAACCAGTTGAACACTGAAAATGTTGTATTTTTCCATAATAAATAATGTGGAAGAAAATCCTTACACTCAAAACGTTTGTAATGCCTTGGAATAATGGTTAAATCTATCAATAATTTTCTATATCTATATAGTTTTACAGGAACACTATAACTTTCGGCCCTCTAGTGTTTAAAAAAACTGCATGCATTTTGCAGAAGAACATTGTTTTGGTTGTGCTTCGACTGTGTGGATGAATATGGTTATCCTTCTGCTTATTAAATATTCACTATATGTTTAAGAGATATAACCAGTTCAGATGGAAATGATCTCAAGCTAACTTTAAAGGGATAGTTCACTTTGAAATTTATTTTTGGTATGTTTTAGCTTACCTCAAGGGCATCCAAGATGTAGATGTCTTTGTTTCCGCAGTAGTTTCAATTTTGATATTTTTAGGTCAAACCGTTCTTGTCTGTCAGTCATATAATGCAGGTATATGGGGTCCACCTCAAAGAGCATACACAGAGAAGTCCAAATTAAACATGATTTAATGACTCATAAATGTAAGTACACATTGATGGCCTAAGACACGAAACGAGCGGTTTGTGTGAGAAAACGAACAGTATTTATATCGTTTTTACCTCTTGTAACCACAGCCACGTCCAAGTGATCTGATCTTTTCCGGAAAGCGCCGGAAGTGATCTCTCGTGCGTGTGTACGTCACTCACAGAACAGAGATTGTAGGTAAGACGGCTAATTAAAATGGTACTAATTTGCGCTTATCAGGAATGTTTAAACCGTCGTAAAAGAAAACAATTTAAAAAATAAATAATAAAACAATTGTAGGCCTATGAGTGACGTACACGCGCGAGAGATCACTTCCGGCGCTTGCCGGAAAAGACCGAAGCGCCGGCGCCCTCAGATCACTTGGACGTGGCTGTGTTTACAAGAGGTATAAACGATATAAATACTGTTCGTTTTCTCACACAAACCGCTCGTTTCGTGTCTTAGGCCATCAATGTGTACTTACATTTACGAGTCATTAAATCATGTTTAATTTGGACTTCTCTGTGCATGCTCTTTGAGGTGGACCCCATATACCTGCATTATATGACTGACAGACAAGAACGGTTTGACCTAAAAATATCAAATTGAAACTACTGCGGAAACAAAGACACCTACATCTTGGATGCCCTTGAGGTAAGCTAAAACATATCAAAAATGTATTTCAAAGTGAACTATCCCTTTAAGCTCTTGAGTTTAGCACTTTTTTGGTTATGCCAAGCCTCACACAGTCTGTACCAAATGTTAACACTAATATGTAGTTGATATCTTCTCAAATATTCACTTGGCTTTTTTTTTTTCAAAATATGTGTAAAATGGTGTTGTGTAGAAGAAAATCAAACGAACTTGTCTGTTTGGAAAGGCTGAACCAGTAATGCCTTCCCTTAAGAGTCGTAAACATTCAGACTAGATTTAATAGCAAAAGACTAAACACTGGGTTTTAATAGTGCATGTGGACGGTCATTTTTAATCCAGCCTTGCTCCACATCTCTCGTTCCTCATCCCCCACCCTTTCTTTTCTTTTCTCTGTGGGTTTTTCCTACTATGGTGTGATAAACTGCACAGATACTCCATGTTCAAACACATTTAAACAAGTCTCTGTTCTCCCGCTGTGTAAGTGTTTGAATGCAGGAGTGTTTCTGAGTGTTTCATTGTCTAAAAACAATCTCTTTTGTGGTATTTTCTGCTCTTACACACATACAGAGACTCCTGGCAACACTATGCAAATGTTTGCAGTCTTATTTTAGGAAGGAAATGTTTTTTAAGCTCCCACAGCAATACTGACACCAAGGAACACTAAAGCGGACATTTCCCCCCAAAGTAATTTATTGGTTAATGTTCAGTTAGTTTTCCACAGCTATGTTTAGTCTGATACCCTCATGTCACATCTAATGGTTACAGTGTAATGTTACCAAGCCGTTTTAGCTTGAAATGGAATTGAAATGATCACAGATTAACAGAACAAATCTCACAGCTCCATATCACAATAATAAAACACTTTACGAAAACAACATCAGAGCAAATAAAATAGTTCCAATGGCCGCATTTACCCCATGAATCTGGTAAGCAGTTCAGGTTTTTCTCCACCGTATAGATTTAAATATAACTAAAAGTAAAAACCAGCACGGTATAGCCAACTGCAACTGCTTCTCCTGGTCTAAAACTGAGCTGTTTTTACACTCGGCATTAAGACTGGAAAAGAGATGAGAGGGGTATCACCATTTTGGAAGTGTTTTTGGCCCTTGTATGAGAAATTGCTGTGATGTTCATCATTTGTAAGTATCTTTGGATAAAAGCGTCCGCTAAATGACTAAATGTAAAGATCGTACTAGATTTACTGAACAGTGTCATATACACAGGGTATATTCTACAATAATAGCTAACATCAGCTGAAAGGAAATTTTAAAAAAGTAACAATCAACATTCAAAAATACCCAAACAGTTAGATAATGTTAATTTCGTCAGCCGATCTTTAACAGATACTTGCAAATGACCCTGCAAAGTTCAAATAAAGATTTACTCCAATTATAATCAAATCAAACAACGTAAAAAAAAACCCCGCAACCCTTGCTCTAACAACACCTAGAAATAAATGGCTTTACTACACTTTATTAACTATTATTATTATCTAAAAGAGAACTGGCAAAAGGAAAAATAGCATACAGCTTACTATATATAGGTTTGACTTCAGTAAGACAACTCAAATAAAAAGTTACTGTATCTGATTTGTGTTTGTTTTGTTTTAATTAACTAGTTCTAAAATAAAGTTTTTACATTTATAATACACGTGATATAAATATGCCTCATAAACGTAGCTGGAGATAATAAATGACTTAAGATCTTGTAAAACATGGCCAGAAAGGTTTGCACTGACCATCAATGAGACATTTGGGAAATTGTACATATAAAATAGTCTGCTATAATATAACTTTTATAGCTCTACATAACTGAAAGAAACTGAAACTCAGCAAGCTGTTAATGTGTTGACAGCCAATCAGAATCCGCCATCAGTTCCTCTCTCTCACCTGTCTGTGAGAGTGAATCTATCTGAGCTCAACCCCAAGAAACTCACTTATTTATAGGAAAAAGTTTAAAAATGAACAAATGCTTATTGTATTCTAAATTTAGGGAAGAATTCTATTTATTCTGAGCCAATCAGAATCGCCCCTCAGTTTCTCTGAGCAGAATGTCTCACCTGTCTGTGAGCTGGACACTTTCAATAGCGCGCACAGAATGCTAAGTTCAACCACACTCTCTTTTGACTGACTGCTCTCTTTCTTTCCTTTCCTTTTTCTCTCTCTCTCTCACACACACACTAAAATAGGCTAAAGTCACAATGATTCTTTCACACACGCTCACTCACTAATGGACAAAGCTATAATCACATACAGATCTGTTAACAAGGACAGACGGGCACCACGCACACACATGCACCGACCCGCAGTCCAATACAGTCCGTCCGAAGTAAGAGAGGACATCAGATTCATGACACATCAATTATCCACAATACAAGGAAAATATAAAGAAGAAAAAAAAAAACATGGCAAAACAGAAATACTACCAAAAATAAGCACTAAACAATCCTATCCAACAGACTTTGTGTAGTAAAGCAGTGTTGAACACAGACACACTCTCTCTGTTGTGTTGTGTGTCATTCAGACTTGAATTGAGAATTTGTTTTGAATTGGAATGCAATTCTTGAATTTGAGGCAAATTTAAGTGAACTGAAATTCAAACTTCATATAACTGTATTTTTGCTACAAAATGATGAAAAGCAAAGTTGTCAACACTGAAAGCTTTGTTTGATAGAATGAACGTATTAATGAACGATGGATGGGTGGATGGATAGAATGACAGATAGATAGATGATAGATAGATAGATGATAGATAGATGATAGATAGATGATAGATAGATAGATAGATAGATAGATAGATAGATAGATAGATAGATAGATAGATAGATCATGGATGGAGATAGATAGATAGATAGATAGATAGATAGATAGATAGATAGATAGATAGATAGATAGATAGATAGATAGATCATGGATGGATATAGATAGATAGATAGATAGATAGATAGATAGATAGATAGATAGATAGATAGATAGATAGATAGATAGATAGATAGATAGATAGATAGATAGATTCACATTTATGAATTAAAAGAGAGCCAATTTTTCAATTCTAGTGTACGTAGACTGTGATGTCCACACATGAATGGTTTTGTATGGATGTGTGTGTAAGCTGTGTGTCTTGATGAGGATCTGTGGATCTCACACAGTCTGCTGTAACTCAATGCACTGCGTTTGCCTGTTAGTTCCATTGAGCTGGTAGTGCGAGCTCTTTAGTTGCCTCTTCTTATAACACCACACCCCTAAAACCACCCCGACCACTGCGGCCGCCACCCCGATGATGATGGCTGCGATCATCGGCCCGTGGCCTGACCCGGGACAGGGGTCTTCAGCACACACACCCTCCCCTGCACGCTCCTGCTGCTCCAGGCTGGGGTCTCCACCTCGTTCCATCACGCTACGGTTTTCAGGGATTTCAGTCGGGACATGACCAGGGATGTGCTCCAGTAAGTGGCTATTATCAATGGTTTCCCATGGATCCTTAATGACGGGTGTGGGAATGCTGGTAATTTCATCATCCAGACTGACCATCCCCGCCGGCGTGGACGCGTTCTCCGGGTCCAAACCCCTTTGACTGGTGCTCACATTTTCAGGAGCGGAAGCCGGTGTGTACGACTTGTGGAGAGCAATATCATCTGGACTGGGTGTGATCTGAGTAATGATGGTGTTGGTTTTCATCTCCACACCATTTGGACTGTCAGTAACACCATCAAACCCCAATGTTTTGGATCCATCAGAGTCTGTTTCCTCTGGTCTCTCCACGTCATCTTCTGCAAGTCCTTCAGACGTTTCCTCATAATGTGTTACAACAGACTCTTCCTTCTCAAGTCTGGTTGTCCCTTTGCCAAGCTCCTCCCCGTCTCCTTTCCTGTGGATCTTGTCCTTAGGATTTTTAATTTCTCCATCTTCTTCTTCTTCTTCAGGACTGTAAATCAAACCTCCGGTCTCTTCTTCCACAGGATTTTTGGCTCCATCCTCAAACTCCTCCACTTCTGAGTGTCCAGTCACGCTTGATGTCTCAATCCCCTGTTCTGGTCCCGCCTCCCCTGTGGACTCGCCTCCAGCTTTATCTTCATCCAGAGTTATGGGATATCCATCTAGCCAGGATTCATCCGTGCCGCCGGCACTGGGACTGGCTGGTTCATGGGTGGGACGATCAGTCGGACGGTCGCGTTCCTCTGCGATCGTGTCGGGATCAGATTGGCTGTCGGATGTTTTGACCTTCATGTGATTCTCGTCTTCACTGGGGCTTTTAACAGAGGAGGAATCCGTAGTGATACCCGGATGCTCCTTCTCTTCCTGGAAGGCCTCTGAAGGAAACCAGAACATGTGTTTCTGACTGAGCTGAGACACTGGAGGTTCAGTGACTGATACTGTTGAATCTTCATCATTCTCCTCCTCCTCTGACACAACTGTCCGTTCATGCTCAGGTTCAGGAGTTGATTCTTCTACTTCACGATCAGTGGACTGCGTTCCTCCAGGAATCAAGGAAATATGATGCTCGTGCAGGAGATGGCCATCTGTGAACTTTTCCTCATAGTCGATGTGGCCTTCAGGATCATCTGCAATAAATAAAACATACTGAAGACTATACGCAGCTACACCCGAAAGCCAAATAAACCCTTTGAACCTCTAGAATTGAGCATCTTGGAGTCTCTTTCTCATGTTCGGCTCGGCTCTTTTAGTTCTTAAATCTCACCAGTGCTCACCTTTGACGCAGCGGTGGACCAGGCCGTACCAATCTCCACAGCTGTCACAGACCAGACTGAAGGCTGTTTCTCCATCGGGCAGTTTGTGTCCTGCGTCACAGGCGTACAGGAGTTCATCGCCCAGATCCAGCCCAGTCATCCCCTGCAGATGTGAGTGTGGGAACGAAGGTGGCTGCCCACATGGAGCATCTGATGGAAGAAGGGGAAGTGGAACAGGGGCAGACACATGAAAGAGTTCATAAAGAGAAAAGGATGAATTCACACTGCACACTGAATTATCAGGCTCACGTTGTGCTTTCACACTGACAGCATTTCTGCAACTGCAGCTAGATACAGACAATAGTGCATACAGAAAGAGTAGAAAGTCATTTAAGGGTCACTATATTGAAAAATCCCTCTAATAACAGTCATAAATTTATAAAACAGTTACTGGAGTTCTTCTGTAAATCATTAATCACAGGTTCGCGTTTAAAGTCTGATCATTTCGACGGAGGTGAATCAATCAAAATTAACTTTAGCTGGAAATAACATTATTCACGAACCACTATAAAGCCAAAACAATCTCTGTTAGGCTACCTTAAATTATATGTTTATCTCTGTAAAGCTGCTTTGAAACAATCCATTGTTAAAAGCGCTATATAAATGAGGATGACTTGACTTGTAAACTAAGTGCTAAAATGATCTGGATTAAGTCAGATTTAGTTTCTTACCTTTATTTATTTAGTTTTTTCAAACAATAGGCAAGAATTTATGTTAAACATTTATTTACATTTAAACATTTATGTTACAAAACATACTTTTGTAACATTATAAATGTCTTTACTCTCACTTTTGATCAATTTAATGCATCCTGGCTGTCATAAAAGTATCAATTTCTTTAAAAAAAAAAAATCTTACTGACTCCAAACTTTTGAACGATAGTGTATATTTTTACAAAAGCTTTCTATTTCAGATAAATTCTGTTCTTTTGAACTTTCTATTAATCAAGGAATCCTGTAAAAAAAAAATTGTACACAACTGTTTTCAACATTGATGATAATCAGAAATGTTTCTTGTCTTGTCAGCATGAGACACTGAAGACTGGAGTAATGATGCTGAAAATTCAGCTTAGCCATCAAATAAATAAATTGCATTAAAAAAAATATTTAAATAGAACACAGTTATTTTGAATTGTAAAAATATTTCATAATATTACTGTTTTTACTCTTTAACAGATTCTCAAAGACTATTTTTGTCTTGTTTTTTGTTTGTTTGTTTGGTTTAAATGGTAATTTGAAGTGCCAGTTTTACTTTATAATACAGATTATTATAAATATATAATACAGTGTGTGTGTGTGTGTGTGTGTATGTGTGTGTGTCTGTTTTGCACTCTTGATGTTTTAGAGATTCACCCCTTCACTGTTGAGTCCTTTTTTCTGCATCCTGGCTGATTTGTAGATTGTATGCAAAAAAAAAAACTCTGACAATTTCCCATTCATTTCCTATGGGGGTCATTTTTGACCAAAGAGCAGAAGTGTGACGACCACTTAGCATGCTTGGATCATGACCTCAATATTTTTTGTTTGTTCACTTACCTAATACCATAAAAGTCACCTAGTTTCGTAACATCCCGATGAAGCTGTGATTTTTTAAAAATTCAAAATATATTTATGTAATCTGAATTTATTAGTGTGTTTGTGTATAAAAGTGTGTGTGTGTGTGTGTGGATGTGTCTGTTTTGCACTCTTGATGTTTTATAGATTCACCCCTTTACTGTTGTGTGCTTTTTTTCTGGATCGTGGCTGATTTGTTGATTGTACGCACAAAACAACTCTGTATTGTCACATTTTTGTCAATTTCCCATTCATTTCCTATGCGGGTCCATTTGGACCCGAAGACCCTGAGTGTGACCATTTTTTTTACAACCACTTAGACTATTCAAATCCTGTTTTTTGGGTGTTCATATACCAAGTAACAACAAAGTCACCAAATTTCGGACCATTCCGATGAAGCTATGATTTTACACATTTTTTTATTTAAATTCTTCGGGTCCATTTGGTCCGAAGAACCCCAGAGGGTTAAAAAACTTTTGACCGGTGGTGTATTATCGGTGTATTAGAAGTCTCTCTCAGATCATCACATTCGGGGTCCTTGTCATAAAAAGTTTGAAAACCCCTTTACTCGCATGCTATTGTTCTGGTTCTTTCACATGCAGTATATGAAACAGGCCAAAGTAATTAGGTACGTGCTACATGAAATATTCCCTCGTGATCTCTCATAAGTGAAAAAACACAGCCCCCTTCTCCAGTTTCTTAGTTTCAGTGATTTAAAACTGACCGCTATCTTTCACACAGAACACGCCCAGTCTCTCAGTGTCGGCGGTCAAATTCTCCAGCTGAACGTCAACTGGCCTCTGAGTCCCCGGGACGCCGCTGCACACTGTGGTCCTGAAATCACACGTTGGCAAGTTGGAAGTGAATTAGAAGAATTCTTTCTCTCTTTTTTTCTCTACCTTATAAAGGCAACAGACATGATGTCACCGTTCAATTCTGCTTACATATGCAGCTCATGCACTTTCAACTTGCATACACAAACACACACACACACACACACACACCTTTTGCAGTATATCCCCGTCACATTGCTAATGTCTCCAGTGTTTGTATAAATTCACATCACAGGTCTGTTTTCTATCATGTGTGCATGTTTTCAAAGCTTTTGTCTCCCACCATTTTCTGAGTGTGTCTGTCAAAAAAGTGATTAAAAAAAGCAATAAGCCCCGAGAGACTCATAATATTTGGAGGTCCTTGGCATTAAAAAGTTCCCTGCATTACATGCAGTGAGAAAGAAAGAAAAACGGAGTAGGATTAACTTTGAAACAATTTTCACTCATAAATTCCATATAAAATTCACTAATAATTACAAAGAAGCGGCATGAATTAAATATGAAAATTTGAAGCAGAAAGACTGAAATATTAGTGATCTGTCACGTCAATATAGAATGTGGCATTTGCAGTTATGGTCATTTTACAATAGGTCACATCCATTTTATAAAACTTGGCTTCAAGATGTCACTCTTAGAAAGAAAGGTTCTTGTCAGGCTCTTCACCTTTAGAACCTAATGGGTTCCCGTCATGGGATCATTTTATTGATTTAAAGTGCTCCTATTAGTTTTTTTTACCCGGATATTACCTTTCATGCAGTGTGTAATATAGTTGTTTGTGAATGTAAAAGGTCTCCAGAGTTTTGCATGACAATTAAAGTTATTTTCTCCTAAAAGAAACAACCGATTCTGAACTGCCTGAAACGAGTCCCACTTCCTGCACAAACCTATGGAACAATGTAACAAATTTGCATAATGCCAGTATTAATTGGCTGCCGGTGAATAACGTCTACTTTGCCCCGCCCTCAAACACTAGTTGTAGTAGCCGAGACTGGAAGAGTTTGGTTCGCGTTGTCGACGTGTCGAGAAGACGCTGTTTTTGCTGCAAATCCACTCATTCGTATAGCCATCATTCATATCACGGTGTGTGTCAAGCACTGAGGAAGCTTCTGGAGCTGAAATCCAGATATAGTAATAGGCACTTTGTTTCCGACACACGCTGTAAGCGGTCGACCAATCACAACAGACCGGGTCGTCTGACCAATCAGAGCAGAGCAGGCTCTCAGAAAGGCGGGGTTTGGAGAGACTGAATCTTCGAACAAACCGTTTTCAGACTCTTTGAGAAATGAGGTGCAATGTATATTATGAGAAAAATAGTGTTTTTCACCTTGGATGCATGTAAACCTGTTGTAGGAGACTCGAAAACAAAATTAGGAACCTTTAAAATAGCATAATATGGGCAATTTAATTAATTAATTTTGTCTTTAATTTAAATGAATCTTTTCTGAATTAAACAGCTCATAAACATACTGTATTACAAGGAAAAAATAGGAAAGGAAATAACCTGTTAAACATGAAGGTATTATGCAATCATTTAAGACATTTCTCCTTATATATAACCTTTTTGGCATAAAGGGCTCTTTAAAATTGAGTCAAGAACCTTAAATAGAACCTTATTTCTAAGAGTTCAGTCAAGGTTTCTGAATATACTGGGCATATTATCTACAGCCAAGAATGTCTGTCTGTTTTGTCCCAATTCTTTTAGAGACATTCCTCCAAATGTTTGTGAGGGAAGTAAGTTGCTTACCTCACCTTTTAACACTCAGCTGTGAAGTCTTAATCAGAATTATGAGCATGTGGGTATGTCTGAGCGAGTGCAGAGCGAGGCTCAAACCACAACCAGACTGCTTGAGTCCTTATGAGACTAGACTCTCTTGGGACAGTGTTAAGTTACTAGGAAACACCCTGTGCCAAAGTTTAGTGATGAAGACTCGGCTGAACTGAGGTAGATTGTCTTGAGGTTAGATTGCATAGAGATATCCATGTGTGTGTCATTTACGTGAAATGTATGCGTCACATCCAAAAAATCCTTGTGTAATCTATAGGTTGTTCTGAAGGGAAGGCCACTCCTTTTGCCGAAACTCACAGATGCAAGTGATTTTCAACAAAGGCCTCAAACATGCATAAATTCATACTTGATAACAATGCTCTGAATTTTGTAGTCCAGACCTATTAGAAAGACGTGTAAAGCTTAGAACAAACAATATGTCTTGAATTAAGCTTGTTTTTCTTAAGCCTAAGTCATTGTTTTCTTGTAAACAGAAATTAAACGTAATATAGTTATACACACACACACACGCATATATATATATACACATTTATTTTGTTCTTTTGAACTATCTATTTCGCAAAACATGTTTTCACAAAAATATGAAGCCGCACAACTCTTTTCAACATTGATAATAATCAAGTATGATCATCTAAAGGTGGTGGTGGGGGTTTTTTGTGCTATTTTTGTAAAGGATTATCTTCAATGCACAAAAATGTTATCTAAATCGATTCCAAATCAATTTGAACTTTGCCAGTTCAATAACAGTTGCGGGTTTATCGTCCTCCATCAGCTCCCTCATGTGTTTTAACAACTCTTGGATCAATTCTTATAAATGTATAAAGCTTTTGAGACAGTTGATCGCTCTATTCTGTTATCCTTACCTCCATATTGGCGCATCTAATTTACCTTTATCTTGGTTCTCTAATTATCTATTTAGTAGATCCCAACATGTAAAGATTAAACAACAACCTGAGCCTTTTTGACTATTAACAAAGGGGTTCCTCAAGGCTCTGTGTTGGCTTCAACCCTGTTTTTAAGTTTATATTAATAGTGTTTCCCAGGCTATCTATAGTGAGAAAACCTATATACCTATACGCGGATTATACTATTATTTACTCTATAGGATCATCATATGATGAAGTTAGGATTAGGGTAGGGTAGTATTCACGAAGCTTTTAATGACATAAGGCTTGAATAGCACAAAAATGAAGATAATGTGGCTCAGAGAGAAGAAACCAACCGTGTAATAAAGATATTTTATATAAAAACAAAGTGGTATCTTCATACAAATATCTTCTGATCACATATAATCAATCTTCAGAAGAAAGTTAAATCTAGACTTGGCTTCTTATATCAATATAGATCTACGTTCACTATGTCAGCCAAGAAATATCTATATACCACTATTTTACCGTTATTTGACTATGGTGTAGTGTATAATATATTAGATGTGTTATCATGCAGCTATTAGACTGATTACTAATGAACCTTACAGAACTGTATTCCCTTTCAAATTGGACGTCATTACATATTAGACGGGAAATACACTGGTGTATTTTTATTTATAAATTCCTATTATTTGTATTATTTTATTATTTGTTACTCAAATATCTTCAAGAGTTGCTGCCACCTCATGTTATTCAACCAGATCATCTAATCATATCCTTTTAATTATCCCTGAAGAAAACTGTTTATGGTCGTTCTGCTTTTACTGCTCCAAATGATTGGAATGTGACCCCTTGACCAAATGTAATGTAATAATATTATAAAAATATAACATCAAACCAAATTGCCAAATTATAATCTATTTTAACAATATATAATGTAATATATACAAATACTTGGCAGATGCCAATCTGTTTGATATGTTTTTCTTAGGTGTCCTTATACTTTTTTGGGCCAACTGTATATGTCGTTTTGGACCACATTTTCATGTGATAATTATTTTGGGATTTGTGCTCAGTGGTAAAGTAATACGGCTCAGCAATGGAGCAGCAGAGAGAATGAACACATGGAAGGTGCTGATATGTTCCCTCGCAGCAGCTCAGGTCCATTTCTCTCAGGCCCTGAGGTGTAAATGGGAATGTTCTGGCTGAATTCACAGGTAGGATTCGCTCTGTCTTGCAATCACACACAAAAACACATATATATACGCAAGCAACATATCTCATTATCATGCCTAAAAAAAGCACAATGCCCGTTCAAAGTTTGTGAATGTTACTTTTAAATATAATGATTACAATATTGCATTACTCCCTAAAAAAGTAACTAATTGTGTTAGTTATGGAAAGTAATGTTTTGCGTTACTTTTGTGTTACTTTTTCTCACCTGGGCTTGCCTTGCTTGCTTTGTTTTTAATAACAAAAATAAAAGTTCTGCTACAGTAGATGGCACAGCTCAAATAAACGTGCTGCCATTCTGGATCGCAGAATAATAGGACGAATGAGAAGAAAATTACAGACTGCATCCGAAATCGCATATACTTCCCTACTATATAGTAGTAGGCGAAAAACAATATGTCACAAAAGATGTCTGAATTCACAGTACTCATAAAAGAGTCGGCAAAATGTACCTGAATGACCTACTACTTCCGGTGAGATTCTGAAGCGTGCATACGATGGACATTTTACTATCCCATGAGGCCACGGGAGAGGATTTGTGAATGACAGTGAAGCGACACAACTGACGCCGTAGGTCACATGACAGTAACAACATGGCGAATGTAATACGTCCACCCACACACTCATACAGAGCACATACTTTTTTTAGCTGTCGTGAAGTAATTACTTATTCAAAATAAGTACCTACTCAAGAGAGAATGCGATTTCAGACGCAACCCAACACTTTTACTTAAGCAACAAAAACTAAAAATTAAACACAAATGTGATATTTAGTCATTTTTGCTTAGAATGTTTGAATTGAATCATTGAAAGGTCAGCAGCAAAGACATTGGCTAATAAAGTGAGATTAAGTGCATAAAGTATATTTGTATTATTTAACACATTTAATTATTGCAGGTTAACGTAATATTCTGTGTTTGCACTGCACTGTTTTTATTAATTCTTAGGAAGACTGAATGTGTCTCTGTCTAGGCTAGAACTAAAATAACCATGTTCACACATGCACACAGATTTCTCTCAACATGGGGACAGGAGAGCTGTCAGTCAACAAATGGGAAAACAAAGTAACTTGCGTTACTTATTTGAAAAAGTAACTCAGATATTTAGTTCAAAAAGAGTGTAACTTTAGTTACTTGAAAAAAGTAATCTGATTATGTAACTGACGTTATAATGCATTACCCCCAACAATGCAGCACTCTGACCTATACAGCATAAGCTCTGTTCTTCAGATAATTAATGTTCTTACCCCACGCTCGGTCCGGAGAGCCAACCACGCGAGCAGGCTGAGAAAGCACATTCCATCACTGCGTGCTGCAGGTCGGCCCCTGAAGCCACCCGGGCCCCGTGAGCGATGCAGGCGTGCGTCGCTGCCTCGAACCCTTCCTCCTGTCCAGCTTTGGAGAAACTCTCCAACTCCAGTAAGAATACACGTCCTAACGGAGAAACTGGTACAAACAAACCAGTTTAAATAGTGTGAATGCACATTTGAGAATACATTACCTCAAACAGGGGTACACTGTAAAAAAATGATCGTGATTTTAACGGTAAAAATGCTACAGTGAAAACCTGTTAATTGGTTAACAGAAAGTTTCCTTACTATATATGGTAAATAACTGTGATAGATCTAACGGTACATTTAATGTAATTTTACTGTAAAATACCGTTAAATTTACAGTTTTTGAAAGTGAAAAAGAACAACTCATTGTATAATTTACAGTAAAAAAAGAAGTAAATTGACATTCCCACAATTCCCTGTGTGACACTTCACATTTGATGTATTTTTGTTGAAATAACTGTTTCTTCTTACTTTTCTTAGTTCTTTTCTTATCAGTTATGTATATTAGAGTTTTATGTTACATTTTAATGTTGTTAAATTAATGTTTATTGCATTTTTTAAATTTCATGTGTTACCATGATGCTGTTAGTGTTTGTGCGAATGACACTGTACACAGCTTCTTTATTTTAGTATTAACTTTCTTGTGGAAGAGCTGCTTGTGATGAGCTTTGATTTATCATGTGACTTTCATCACTGTTGTGATGATTGTTGTTTTTCAGTGTATTACAATGGTACAAAACAGATATTAATACATAAATAGGTTGGTAAATTAACATTATTTCAGATACTTTCAGATTACTGTAAATTTTATGTTAAATCTGTAAAACCAATAACGTCTGTACCATATTTTTGACGGTAAAGTTCTGGCAACCACAGCAGCCGGTTTTTTACCGTAAAAATGGCATTTTATTTTTTACAGTGTAATAATGAGAAGGACATCAAGAAATGTTGAGAATTCAAGGATATAACCAGAGCAAAGGAGGTATGAATAACATGAATTACACCACCAAATAACTTTGTATGTCAAAAGGTAATTTTAAAGAGCAGGATACAACCTGAATAGGGTCAAGAGAGGGGAGTTATATTGTTTTGGGCATTGTGGCAATGTAAAGCAATAACAACTGAGGGTTAAAGAAATGCTGTAAACATGAAGAGGATTTAAAATCTGTTTAAAAATGAATCCACATATAGTAGTGGCCAAAAGTGATGTCCGGACTCCGGAGGGCATATCTGTTTTTAATTACCCTATACAAGTTCGATTAAACCATCAAAATATGAGGAATATATATATATATATATATATATATATATATATCAAATATGAGGGAAGAACAAAACACTAAACTTGGTTAAAGTATTTATCGGACAAAATTATTTAGCAAACTACAGCTACAGGTTTTATTTTGCTATGCAAAAAAGAAAATGCACAGAAAAACTATAAGCTCACAGGAAAAAGCATATATTGACTACAACATACCGTATTCAGTTATTAATATTTGACTCATTTTGACACTATGACACATTTTAAATAATGGGTGAAGATGTCAATTTTCCTATAGGCCAGACATAACTTTTTGTCACGAAAAATAATGGATGATTCCATGAAGAATCGTAAACATCCGTGGAATCTTTACAATGAACAAAATATTTTTTATTGTGGAAAAATGTTTTTTTTAGATTATTCAAATATTCTAAAGAAAAATTGGTTAAATTGTCTGCTGAAAGCCTCTCTGGGGAACCAAAAATGGTTCTTCTATTGCACTGCTGCAAAAAACACTTTTGAAACCTTTATTTTTAAGTGTGTACACACATAAATCCACACATTTTATCACAAGTCCCACCCTGACTATATTGTACACACATATACACATGATGTAAACAAGCAAATCCTAACAAATCTCTCATAAGGAAACTTCATTACATCATTAGTGTGACACAGTTTCACACAGAGGAAATAAAATAGCAGTTTGAGTGAGTCAGTTCCTGTGTAAACTCTCTGAACTTTCACAGCCTCGGATTCAGTGTCTTTGTGAGTTATTAGATATATGCTATAAAAATTTAACTGAGGTTATATGATCACATCACCAAACGTGCAGTGTTTTTTTTTTAGAAGCATTCAAGTATCTCATACCTCCATAAATACACAAAAGTTAACATCATCATTTGGGGTCCATTTGAAGAGTTACGGTTAACAGGTTGGTGTCAGTGAGGTAAATCCATTCTGAGTCATGTTCAGAAGTCTGACTAATCAATCTGACCCAACCACAAACAACCTGTCATCTATCAATCGTTTGTTACAAATTCATTAGTGTCATATTGATGAGTCTGTTATGCTGATGTGAAGATATCAGGGGTTCGTGGTGGATGAACATGAAATTCATTAAGGGAATTAGATCTTTAGTTGAAGGATTTTACCTCTTCAAACATCAAACATGAATATTGTGTGAGAAAACGGGAAACAAACTTGAAACATACACTACAAAGAGCATCTTTCACTCCAAAACAATGGGACAAAGCAGGATGGAGGCTTTGTGTTTGGATGTATATAAATACACTGTAAAAAAAGAAAAAGAAAGAAAAGTTGTTTCAACTTAAAAAAGTGTTCATGTTGACTTAAGATTTTAAGTTGAGTCAACTCAAATATCCAAGTTGTCACTTAGTACAAATTCTCATTTCAATTTGACTAATCCAAAAATTAAGGCAGCATGAACACTTAGTTTTTATTTCTTTTTTACAAATATTATGAATTTGGAATCATAAATATCAAGTTTTCTTACGTTTATTACATTTGACCTGAACTAAATTTTTCATTAAAAAGTGAGATTTTTTTCTTAAAATACACTAATGACATAAGCATCTGATTTATGTTTTTTTGTTTGTTTTTTTGTCACATGAAAACAAAATAGCTTCTTGCATGTTGGACAGGCCAGACTGACTTTGAATTTAGCTGACTTTTGTTTATATTTTAAAAAAACAAAAACAAACGAATGCTTACGTGATTATTTTAATAAATAATACGTAGGTATTACATATTAACATTTAATTTTTCTCAAAGATGTCAGCCTTTCAATGAGCCTCCAGACAAAATATAGATGTTTCTTAACTTTAAACTGCATTGAAAAAAATAACTTGAATTTATTCCGGTCAATCTGAATTTTTAAAGTATTTTAAACAACTTAAATAGAACGAACACAATAACAATGTGCGTCACGTAATTGACCTCGACTAAATTGTTATTTAGAGGAATTAGTTGCGGCTTTAGCTAATTTCAGCTTTTCCCTCCCTTTCACACACAAACATGCATCTAAACACACACCAAAAACAAATATAACACACTCACACCACTGTCTAACCTTTTGGAAGCTGGACACACGCATGCGTCCATTCATTACCTCGCTTAAATGCGAATTGAAGAGGCGCGTGAAACAAACGACCCTAACCAGATCGTCGAGAGAAACTCACCTTCCGCGCGCGTCAGGTAAACCAGGTATCCCAGCAGAAGCAGGAGCTCTCGGTGACAGGCGCGCCTCATTCTCACAGGCTGAACACAGTGGATGGAAAACGGTAAAACTTTTCCAAATCTGACAGGAAAGGTGAAAAATCCCAATTGAATTGCGCACTCCAAGCGGACAGGCCCGATGATTCCGATAGGCGAGAGAAAAGAACTAATAGGCGCAGTGACAGAGATGCAAGGCGAGGTTTATCTGACCATGAAGTACATTACCGCGCTGCTGGTGCGCTCGTGCGAAAACTCGCACGGCGTTGTCAGTAAATACGTCATGACTCAGAACCTGTGCAGTACCGCATGAGAACAGAGGCTCTAAGCACTGGGACTGTTCCAGTGCCGTGGGGAGTCTGTGCTTCATTGGCACAGAAGAAAGTTTGCCACCGTGAAATGCGTTTTTTCTTTACTGGGACTGGACCCTTCATTTTGGTGCGTCTTGTCACCATAGCGCGCCTGGCTGCAAGTCAGTTCAGAACGAGCAGGACAAAACCAACTGTGCCTGTGTCCTAAATTCTTGGGGCCAACCTCAGGACACATTAACTTTGATGAAGCTGCTGTTGGGCAATATGTGACGTGAAAGCATAATGGGTGTTTTCGCCCACCACCACCCACAAACACACTCACATTCATTCAATTGTAAAGGCTTTTATCCTGGAAAAAGAGATAGTGAGTGTGAATTAGCAAGTATGTTTGTTTTTTAGTGAGTAAATGGCAGGATTGTGGTCAGCGCATGCAGGCTGAACAGCTTCTAATGTTATTTCCTTCAATAACAGAGCTGTGTGTGATCCTAAATTCCTTACCTTATTATTTAGTCAAGGCTTTAGCCAAACAATTACAGCTTAAAGCCGGCACACACATATAAAACCGTGAACCTGCATAAATTTGACCACACTGAGATCAGTCCTTTATTAAATTCCTTAACAAAACACAAAACATTGTATATTTGATCAGCTTCAACAATGATGGCAAAACGTCTTCTCAAGAAGAGGCGAAGCACCATAGCAGTGAACAGAAATACGTTCTGATAATGATCCTATTAAGTTACAAAAAGGTTCTTTCAGAAAAACATCCCGTCCACCAAGGAAATGTTCCATTTTGTCATTTTGCAACCATTATGGGAACGTTACTTTGGAATGTTCTCTGAACGTTTTGAAACAAGTAAGTAGTAGATTAGGAAGAAAAAAACATTCCATGAATAATGTATAAATAGCGTTTTTGTGCTAATGTTTTGAGAACATTATTAACCACTTCAGACCTGATTATATAAGGTGCAAATTGAATATACATTTGCATAATTTAGGTCAAAAGTGGGTTTACTCCTCCTGTCTAATCGGTTAGCCATGCCTGTCTTTTTTTGTGTCTTTTTGAAGCTCAATCAGATTAAGTTATGGGTCACATCTTCATTGTGATAAGTTGATCAGGGACTAATTACTGACCAGGCATTACTCATATTATACAATGTAAGCAGGGTTTGAAGGGGTTAAAGACCAGATAACATCGATCGAACATTCTATTAATGTTACTGGAAGATTGTTTGTTCATAACTTCAAGAGAACCTTTCCAGAACGATAGCCAAAGTACTGAGAAAGAAGTTCCCTGTTAGCTGGGAGGTTCTTTTTTTTTTGGTCAAATTTAACACTTCACATTTAAGCCATTCAGTTCTATTTCGGACTCATTTTGACAAAACATTCTTTTCATAGTCTTCTGGCTCATTCACATGGCCTTTGGCAAATGTTCTTGGCTTCCATCTTGTTGTCCTGCCATGCACACCATTATTGTTCAGTCCCTGATGGTGACCACAACCTTAGCCAATGCAAGAGAGGCCTGTAGACTCTGAGATTACTCTGAGCAACCTTCTGGAATACACCGTGCTCTTGGAGTGGCTTCTGTCGGACGGCCGCACCTGTAGAGTGGCAGTAGTGTTAAATATCTCCCATTTGGACACGATCAGCTTTGGAAGAGCCCAAACTCTTTAGAAATAGTTCTGTAACCGCAGCCTGGCAAGCATGACAGTGTTTTAATTTGATTCTTTAGTATCGTCTGGCCTGCTGAACACGTCATGTTCTGATAACTGAATAATGACTGTGACTGGAAAATATTTAAGACCATTTACAATGAAAACCATGCAAGATCAAAACTCACCTGCAACACGGCTCTCTCTCGCCCTCTGCTGTTGTTACGCAGGAATAGTGCAGTACAGAAACACAAATTCAGACTCATAATAATACACATTCCCTATTCATGCACAGAAATTAGCATTTTATAACAACCAGACTGTGTTAAGAATAACCAGTGCATGCTGTAGAAAATGTATAATTCATTACTATACTTAAGTATTACGTTTTGAGAATTTGTACCTCACTGGAGTATTACTGAACCTGTACTTTTACTCAGTTCTAGTTTATTCATTCAAAATTATGCATTACAATTTCATTTAGACCTCTGAAGTCATCATGACTCAAATAATCTCGGACCTATACAGCATTGCTGAAGATGTACAAACTTGCGTAAACACAGACAGGAATCTGTCTATAAACTAATCAAATGTCAAACTGAAAAAGCTGAGGCTGAATTTAATGCTTAACAATCTCAGGTAACATCCGATGTTGTTCAGAACCTTATAAACCAGGGCATTAAAAAAAGGTTTTACATTTAAATACGTACATACAATTAGAAATTTAAATGTTGTCATCATTTACTCACCCTCATGTTGTTCCAGACATGTATAAGTTTCTTTCTTCTGTTGAACACAAAAGAAGATATTTGAAAGAATGTCTGTAACCAAATAGTTGACGGACTCCATTGACTTCCAAAGTAAAAAATAATAATATATATACTATGGAAGTCAATAGGGGTCCATCAACTGTCTGATTACTGACATTCTTTAACATATATTCTTTTGTGTTCAACAGAAGAAAGAAACTCATACAGGTTTGGAAACATGAGGGTGAGTAAATGATGACAATTCTTACATTTTTGAGTGAACTATCCCTTTAAATGTGGAAATGTTTTACTTTGATTTATGCGTGTTGGTTAGATAAAAGATAACTTAAGATTAAATGCAAAAATATTGTCAATGACAGAACTATCTGTATGAATAATATGTCAATTCTCCATTCCCTACACTTCCACTTGTGTATTAACCACGACACACCTATGCGACCTCACATCATTATCAAAACAAACCCACCACGCGTGTTTTTCCCGCAAAAGTGACGTCACGGCAGCCACTGTTTTGAACCCCTAGAGCGCACGAGCGCGTCTTAGCTCCAGTGCTAATAAAAGGGATTATTCTTCAAGCTTATTTCCCAGACAGTTCTTGCATATTATTGGCGTGGTTTAAAGATTAAGCAGCACTCACTTAAGGCAGGAATTTGCACTCGAGCGGAAATGTAGTCAGAGAGGCAGCTCGGGAGGCGGAAGTGATGTTAGAGCAGCAGTCTGCTCCGTCCATGTTATTATTGTTATTTTGGCTGTGTGATGGTTCACGGACGGCGGCCAGCCCGGGATTTCTCCGGTTACCAGCGCGTACACGAACGGCTAGAAGGCCACACGTTACAGCTGCGCGTCTGTCTCACGATAGTTTGATCGCCAGAGTTGACAAAACGCGCAAACGTCGCTGTGTGCAGCGCTCGCCGAGGACTGTCTTTATTATTGACACTGCAACAGACATGAACGGCATCACCAAGGGCAGATTTGAGGTAACTCATATCGAGCGAACCGTGGACGTGACTGTTGAACTGTTATAGTTTGTCCGAGGAAACAAAAACGGGCGGTGGCAGGCTGTCTGAGCGATGACAGTGTGTTTAAGCGTATGTTTGTGTTGGTGGGCGCGCGCGCGCGTGAGTGGCTGACTGCGTGCGTGCCCGCGCGTGTGTATCTGCAAGGGTACTGTGTGTGTGTGTTTGTTTTAGACCGAGCAGGGCTCTATTTTTACGTGCCGTGTTAAGGCTTTTGTTCGTCAAGGGTAATCCCGTTCTAACACAACGGCACCAGCTGACCGTGTCAGCTACGGGCGTTGCGCATGAATCCGTTTAACGTTCGAGCTGGCTGCTGTTCTGGGAGTTTAGATCAAGCTGATTGGTTTGAGAAGATCTCACAAAGCAGCAGTGTGTTATCTAAGACGATCACTGATGTTATTTGTCCTCCTTGTGCAAGTGTTAAGCGTTGAATTGCACCAGGGCGAGGCGGGTCTGAACCAGCTTTGAGCATATTGATTGTGCATGAGTAACTGGTCCTGTATGAGCTTATATAATGCATCTGCTTCATTTCATATTGTCCAGGTGTTCTCAAACAGTGATGAGGCCCTTATTAACAAAAAACTTCCCAAAGAGCTTCTGCTCAGGTGAGACAATCATAATGAATGACTTTTATTGCAATAGATGTCAATTATATTGTAATACGTTTAGTAAATGAATTATCTATCTATCTATCTATCTATCTATCTATCTATCTATCTATCTATCTATCTATCTATCTATCTATCTATCTATCTATCTATCGTTCTCTTTATTTGTCATCTATCTATCTATCTATCTATCTATCTATCTATCTATCTATCATCTGTCTATCGTTCTCTTTATTTGCCATCTATCTATCTATCTATCTATCTATCTATCTATCTATCTATCTATCTATCTATCTATCTATCTATCTATCTATCTATCTATCTATCTATCTATCATCTGTCTATCGTTCTCTTTATTTGTCATCTATCTATCTATCTATCTATCTATCTATCTATCTATCTATCTATCATCTGTCTATTGTTCTCTTTATTTGTCATCTATCTATCTATCTATCTATCTATCTATCTATCTATCTATCTATCTATCTATCTATCTATCTATCTATCTATCTATCTATCTCTATCTGTCATCTATCTATCTCTATCTATCTATCATCTGTCTATCGTTCTCTTTATTTGTCATCTATCTATCCATCTGTCCTATCTATCTATCTATCTATCTATCTATCTATCTATCTATCTATCTATCTATCTATCTATCTATCTATCTATCTATCTATCTATCTATCTATCTATCTATCTATCTATCTATCTCTATCTGTCATCTATCTATCTCTATCTATCTATCATCTGTCTATCGTTCTCTTTATTTGTCATCTATCTATCCATCTATCCATCTGTCCATCTATCTATCTATCTATCTATCTATCTATCTATCTATCTATCTATCTATCTATCTATCTATCTATCTATCTATCTATCTCTATCTGTCATCTATCTATCTCTATCTATCTATCATCTGTCTATCGTTCTCTTTATTTGTCATCTATCTATCCATCTATCCATCTGTCCATCTATCTATCTATCTATCTATCTATCTATCTATCTATCTATCTATCTATCCATCTGTCCATCTATCTATCTATCTATCTATCTGTCTATCTATCTATCTATCTATCTATCTATCTATCTATCTATCTATCTATCTATCTATCTATCTATCTATCTATCTATCTATCTATCTGTCCTTCTG